CATAAATATTAATTCTTTTCTTCACAGTACTGTGTCAAACATGAAAAATAAAAATCAAGAATGTCCTTAGGCTATGCAATTATTTTTATGAGGATGGACTCATTAGGAAACTGAAAATCTAGGGGTCCATCTCCAATTAACATAATTAATGATGATCAATGCATGGGATAAATTCCTGTCTATGTGTGCCAAGAGACAAGCTGTTGGCACAGGAGAGCAGAGTGTCTACCAGAGTGGCTCACTCCTTGAGTTCAGAGCCTTAAGTTCACCCCATAATCATCGGGATAGATGCTAAACTACCAGACCCATGTCTATCCTTTAGTCTTCTTGTCACATGCTGTTGTGTCATACTGTTGTGTCATACCCTGGGACTCATCACTGGGAACTTCATATGTTTTGAGAATAGTGTGAGGTATCAGGATTATGACTATTTTTTTAAATATATATATTTATATTTAATTTTTTTTTTTTTTTTTTTGTGGTACATGCCTCTAGTGGGAACCGAACCCGCGACTCTCTGGTCTACAGGCCGATGCTCAACTGCTGAGCCAAACTGGCCAGGGCAGGATTACGTGCTATTAAGGCCTATAATAACCTTTTGGTCAGTGGGTTTCTGGGCTAAATTCTCTGTACTCTTAGAATGAGAACAGTTAAGACTCTAGATGCCCCTCCCCATAGGTGAAGAAAACAGCTGATCTGAGGCAGCTGGCCCCCAGGGAAAAACTAATCTAACAATAAACACTGCAATTGAATGAAGCAAAGAAAATAATCAATTCATTATAAGGACAATATGCAAAGAGAAAATTGTGGACTAAATACCAGAAACTCTTACTTAAGTTTTTTGCAACTATACTAATCCAAACTCCTAGGAAGGGCAACGGAGGAACCAGTCCTATATAGATGATAAATAAGAAGCTCCACAAAGAGGAGGAAAGTCAGACACATCAGTGCTCACGTCCCAGCTCAGACATTTGGTGGTGGCGGGCAATTCACAGAGCCTGTCTCTTCATCATTAATTACCTTCAATGCTACCTCATCCATCATTACCCTCATCGCTTCCTCAATGTGATAAGCAGACTGGGCACCTCCTTGGAGAAGAGAGATCATATAAATGGCACAACCCTACAGGTGCAAGTCTTGACTAGCAGACCGTCCATATTTTTTGTAGGAATAAATGATTCCCCTCTCCCCAGCTGGATCCAGCCTGGAAGAGGGTGCCTATCCAGAAATCAGTGCCTAGGACCGCCTGCAGCTCCCACTCAATTCCTCAGGCCTGTGGGCAGTGCACAGCTGTCCATCTGCACAGTCCCGCCCGACCTAAAGTCTTGTTTAAAAAGTGGAATGGGATCATATGTACGGAGTGCTGTATCTAAAGAATAGTGAAGCCAGTTTGTAACTAGAAAAACGTAGTCATTAACTGGAAAAGTAATATAATGGTCCCTGGGGCCCTACAGTTGGTAGGTGCTCTACAAATAGTAGCTATTATCACCACAAATTTTTCCTTTATAGTTTTGAAGTCAAAAGTTTCTTTCAATCAATAGCATGCTTTGGCACAGCACAAGAATCCAGACTGGCCTTAAAATTTCACTAACATTGCCACACATCCACCACTCAGTCAAACAAACTACTTCTATGGAATCTGTAGTGACATAATTGAAACCGGGTTTACATTTATTTAAAGAGTATAGTTTTGATGGAATGAAAATATTTTAGTAAGCGGCACAACATATGTTTGAGGAAAATTTACAGAGGTTCCCCCTGCCCCATCGATTTCCTTACTTAACTATAAGAGCTTCGTTTTGGAAATGAAAAAAAGAGAGAGAGAAAGAGGGGGAGGTGTGTTAAGTTTCAGTTCTGCACAATGGTACCTTTAACAAACCTGCCAGCCAGTCAAAAACTAAATAGGCTGGTTTGAAAAATCTTTACTACTGCCAGTTAATATTCACAGGGCTCTGGGGGAACAAGAACTTTCAATGACTCAATATTTATAAATGCTACTGTTGTCCCCCAAACATGTGTCTTAGATTCCTGAGGGATAGTGGAAGCTTTTGCCATAATAAAGCTGAGGGTATGTGAGTTTTAAATGGGGAGAGGAGTAGTTAGAAAAACAAAATTAAACACATATAAATGAGGACTTGGTGGTCTTGAATTTGAATACCACTTGAATGTGATTGGGAAACCGGACCTGTCTGGGTTATTTCACTTTAATTTACCAATGTCTTAAACATAGAGAAAGCATTCAAAAAGTACAACTCTGCTGGCCAAGACACTTTTTGTCTTTTTATTTGAAATTTTGCTACTTTACATCTACCAATGCCAAGAAAGGCTAAACTTCCAATGTGGGATATCAAAATAGCCGAGTTTGTGTTTACAACTCTGATGGTGTAATCGAAACTCCAAATGCTCAAGAAACAATAACATTAGTGAGGTGAAGTCAACTCTAAATTAAAAGTCAATGTTTCCATTACCCACTCTAACAGTATTTTCAGGATTTTATATAACTTGATCATTAAAAAATGTTCTAGGCTGAAAACCTGGTCTGTGTCAATCTTGGACTAAACTAGTTTGCAAAGCTCTGAAGTTTGTTTGCCCTTCTCTTTTATCCATTTTCAAGAATGTATTACTTTTAAATACTACACATGAAACTAACCCAAAAAAATCTCCAACACCCAATGAGCCAATGCTGTTGCATGCATCATACATTTTGCAGAAGAATTTTATGACTTCTGTAAACTCACTTTCAAGATGCTTATGGCTAGAAGTAAAGAGCTCAAATTCCTTTTCTAACTCAATTTTTAGCACATCCCTTGATTGTCATTTACTTCACCATTTTACATTGGAGCATTAAACTTTGGAGCATTAACTTTTATAGAAATAAACTTCAAATTAAAGTCTAACCTGGCAGAAATAGAGTTTCTCTCATGACTTTAATAGATAGGTTCTTCGTGGAACAGAAGTTTTTATATGGGAATGTCTAAAAAGAAAGGTAGGATGATACCTGAGATTCAGACATGATCAAGTGATATTGCAGTGAAGAATAACAGTAGGGGAAATTGTGCATGAATTTGATTGAGAAACACTACAAAATATCACTAATATTATTTCTACTAAGTCTAAAATGATTTGAAACTGGTCAAGTGTAATAAATACTCTTTTGTTTTTGCAATTTTTATTATTTTTGTTAAAGATGTTTCTCCTTTTTCCCCACTAGACACCCTCCTTCTGATCTTGCTCCCCACCCCAGCATTGTTGTCTATGTCCATTGGTTACACATACATGCATATAAGTTCTTTGGTTTATCTCATCCCTTGACCCCTCCTCTGAGGTTTGTCAGTCTGAACCATACTCCTTTCTATATCTCTAGGTCTATTTTGTTTATCAGCTTGTAATAAATACTCTTTATCATTATACATTCTATTTATGTTTAAACACTGTATTTTATTAAGTTTTTAATGATAAAGTGACTTCTACCAAACATTAAAAAAAACACACACCTGAATAATGGAATATTATTCAGTCATGAAAAGGAATGAAGTACTGATATATGTTACAACATGGATAAACCTTGAAAACATTATGCTAAGAGAAAGAATCAAGGCACAAAGGGTCATAGGTTGTATAATTCTATTTATATAAAATCCAGAATAGGTAAATCTAATGGAAGCAGAAAGTAAATTAGTAATTGCCTATGGACAGGTGAAGAGGGAATGGGGGATAACTGTTCATGGGCACAGCGTTTCTTTCTGGAGTAATGAAAGTATTCTGGGATTAGATAGTGGTGATGATTGCACAGCTTAAAAAACACTGAATTCTATTCTTTTAATGGGTGGATTTTATGGTATATAAATTATATCTCAATTCTTAAAATAATAACCAGATTTTAAATCAAAAATCATTTTGATAGGTATTACTATCCAAGAAACTCTGAACTCAATAAAATTACCAAGATAAATACTAACTTTATCTCTGTAAAGTTTTGCTCTCTCAAGTTACCCAGTGAGAGATTCTGAATAGTTTATAAATATGGTTCTATTAAAGAATCTCTCATTATGTATATGTTAATATTCTTTAATTTGTAAAGAATTTTGATCCCCTTTTTATTTTACATGCATAAGTTTCCTTCAGATTACTTGTACTTGCACTTATGAAGATCAGGAAATTTCAAACTCACAAAGGAGTTGTTCAAAGAAAAGTCCCAATTAAAAACTGTTACAGTCTATTTCAAATATCTCAGGGTTTCCTGAGGCTTAACTTAAAAATGAATTGTAATTCATCTTGAAATGCTTCTATTTTGTTTTTGGTATTTTTTTTGGTTTTTCAAATCACACATCTCACAAAGACAAGTAGAACTGAACTGATGGCAGGTTAATTTTGAAAACATGATACAACTTAGTTAAAGCATATGTGTTGAATTTTTATGATCATAACTTCAAATTATAATGTATATAAGACATTATTTTCCTATCAATAAAAACAAAGAACTCCAAATTTGAAAAAAAAAAACTATGTATGTTGTTACATTTTCTCCATAAAGACATATAAAATTTTTGCATACTATGCTTCAGAAAAGAATTTAGGTCTAATGGTATAATGGTATTCTATTTTTGTATTTTTATTTATCATGCTATTGTACATGCTATTGTACATGTATTATGTAAATTGTACATGTCTTGTCTCATTAGCTGTAGTATAGGCTTCAGGAACTTAGAAATCTTGTGTGTTTTTTTTTTTTTTTAATTACTCTCAGTGATAATGTCTTACATACAGATAAGAGTCTAATATCTAATATATGTTAAAGATCCATTTAATTAAGTTGCTAGTATTACCCAATTCTCCATGGCAAAGTTTCTTTACATGTATGTATAGTATATTGGATTGCCAAATGACCAAAAACAGCCATGAATTTGATAATATAATTAATTATCACATACATTTCTATGAGAGTTATGATACATAGCTTTATTATCCACATACATAATATAGAAAAAAATAGTACTCACAATTGTAACCAGGTTCAATACGATGTTGTGCTTCAAGGCTAGCCAACGTGATGTGAAAAATGATGTGCAGTAACAAGAAGGAAAGACTGGTGAAGCACAGAGACTTTAATAACCGTCCTGTGTGTCCTAGGGGATAAAAACACAAAGATTTTGAGAGAACTTAAGATGAAATGCACTCATTCTCACCTTTATACAGTTCCACATAAAACATGTACCTATATAATCGATTATGTAAACTGTCTCAAAAGTATATGAAGGGTAACAATTGCTCCCTTAGTTATTAGTCTAAAGATGAAAGCTATCTTATTTCTTTTGTAAAATTTTATAATTAACATTGTTTAAAAATTTAATATAAAAGAAACATGACTTTCTATTATCATAATATGTTACCTCAAAATGAAACCACATAAATCCCTAGCCCAGAAAATTTTACAAGGGAGTTCTGCCAACTTTAAAGAAAAAGATAATCCCTACCTAATAAAAGTAGTTTCAAAGAGTAGGAAAAAAAAAATGTTTCTTAAAATATTTTATGAAGACAGAGTAATATTAATTTTAAAATTAAATGAGTCTATAAAAGAAAGAAAATTATAAGCCCATTATACTTATGAAGATAGGCACAAATTATTAAAAAGATATTTGCTAACCAAGTGAAACAGCATAGAAAAATATAATTCACCATAATAAACCAGGGTTTATTACAGAAAACAAGTGTGGTTTAAGATCAATAAATCATTGTGTTAAGTCACACACTAGTGGGCAGAATCATGATTTGCTCTATGGATAAAAAGTTAGTATTTCATAAAGGTCAAAATATATTCAGAATAAAAGAAAATAACACTCAGAAAACTAGGAATAGAAGGACATATTCGTTTTGGGGGGATTTCAAATTTTATTTTTATTTTTTTACTTTTTTAAAAATTATTTATTTATTTATTTATTTATTTATTTATTTATTTATTTATTTATTTTTGTTACAGATGTTTCTCATTTTTCCCTCATTGACACTCTCCTTACCTCCCCCCCACCCCATCCCCAGCTTTGTTGTCTATGTTCATTGGTCATGCATATATGCATGTAAGTTCTGTGGTTTATCTCTTCCCCCACAAACCATCCTCCTCCTCTGAGTCTTATCAGTCTGTACCCCACCTCCAGGTCTCTTTGGGTTAATTTTGTTCAGCAGTTTGTTTAGTTCATTATATTCCACAATTAAGTGAGATCATGTGATATTTGCCTTTCTCTGCTTTGCTTGTTTTCCTTTCCATAATACTCTCGAGGTCCTTCTATGCCATCTCAAAGGATAAGAAATCTTTTTCTTACAGCTGCTTAGTATTCCATAATGTATATGTACCATAGCTTTTTAATCAACTCATCTACTGATAGACATGGGTTGTTTCCAGATCTTAGCTATTGTAAATAGTGCTGCTATGAACGTAGGGGTACATATATTCTTTCTGATTGGTGTTTCAGGTTTCTTAGGGTATATTCCTAGAAATGGGATCACTGGTACAAATGAAAGTTCAATTTTTAATTTTTAATTTTTTTTTATTACAAATGTTTCTCCTTTTTTTACCCCATTGGCACCCCCCTCCCCATCACCCCAGCCCCGTCCCCAGCTTTGTTGTCCATGTCCATTGGTTAGGCATACATGCATATAAGTTCTGTGGTTTATCTCTTCCCATCCCCACCCCCTTTTCTGAGGGATGTCAGTCTGTGCCCTACCTCCATGTTTCTGGGTCTACCGTATTCCTCAGACTGTTATGTTTATTATATTCCGTATATAAGTGAGATCATATGGTATTTGTCTTTTTCTGCTTGACTTATTTCACTTAGGATAATCCTTTCCAGGTCCCTCCAGGTTGTCTCAAAGGATAAGAGATCTTTCTTTCTTACAGCTGCATAGTACTCCATTGTGTATATGTACCACTGCTTTTTTTATCCATTCGTCTACTGATGGACACTTAGGCTGTTTCCAGATCTTAGCTATTGTAAATAGTGCTGCTATGAACATGGGGGTACATATATTCTTTCTGATTGGTGTTTCAGGCTTCTTAGGGTATATTCCTAGAAGTGGGATCACTGGGTCAAATGGAAGTTCAATTTTTAATTTTTTGAGGTAGCACCATATTGTTCTCCATAGTGCCTGCACCAGTCTGCATTCCCACAAGCAGTGTATTAGAGTCCCCTTTTCTCCACACTCAAGAGAACACTTCTTTTTTGATGATTTGTTGATGGCGGCCATTCTGACAGGTGTAAGGTAATACCTCATTGTTGTTTTAATTTGCATCTCTCTGATAATTAGTGATGTTGAGCATTTCTTCATATGTCTCTTGGTCATTTGTATGTCCTTTTTGGAGAGGTGTCTACTTAGGTCCTCTGCCCATTTTTTAATTGTTCTTTTTGTCTTATTTTTGTTGAGTTGTATGAGCACTCTATATATTTTGGAAATTAACCCTTATCTGATGTATCATTGGCAATTATGGTCTCCCATATAGTGGGATCCCTTTCTATTTTGATGATTGTTTCTTTTGCTGTGCAGAAGCTTTTTAGTTTGATGTAGTCCTGTATGTTCATTTTTTCCTTTGTTTCTGTTGCCTTTGGTATTGTTTCAGTGAAAATTCTGCTGCGTATAATGTCTGAGATTTTGTTGCTTACATTTTTTTCTAGAATTTTTTTGGATTCACGAGTCACATTTAAATCTTATATCCATTTTGAGTTTATTCTCGTGTATGGTGTAAGTTGGTGTCCTAGCTTCATTTTTTTTTGCAGGTAGCTGTCCAATTTTCCCAGCACCATTTATTGAAGAGACTCTCTTGAATCCACTGTATGCTCTTGCCACCTTTGTCAAATATTAACTGAGCACATTGTCTTAGGTCAATTTCCGGGTTCTCTATTCAGTTCCATTGATCTATCTGCCTATTTTTGTGCCAGTACCAGGCTGTTTGAACTACAGTTTCTTTGTAGTATAACTTTAAATCTGGTAATGTGATCCCTCCTACTTTGTTCTTCTTTTTCAAGATTGCTGTGGCTATTTGAGGTCTTTTTTAATTCCATATAAACTTTTGGAGTGTTTGTTCTAGTTCTGTGAAGTATGTCATTGGTATTTTGATGGGGATTGAATCTATAGATTGCTTTGGGTAATATAGACATTTTAATGATGTTAATTCTTCCAATCCATAAACAAGATATATGCTTCCATTTTTTTATATCTTCCTCTCTTTTTTTAGTGACCTGTAGTTTTCTGTGAAGAGGTCCTTTACTTCTTTGGTTAAGTTTATTCCTAGGTATCTCAATTTTCTTACGAAATGGTAAATTGGATTATCCTTTTTGTTTCTCTTTTTGTGATTTCATCATTGGTGTATATGAATGCTGTCAATTTCTTGATGTTAATATTGTATCCTGGTACTCTGCCAAATTCATTTATTTAGTCTAGTAGATTTTTTATGAAGTCTTTAGGGTTTTCTATGTACAATATCATGTCATCTGCAAATACTGACAGTTGCACTTCCTCTTTTCCAATTTGGATCCCCTTTATTTTTTCTTCATGTCTGATTGCTGTGGCTAAGACTTCCAGTACTATGTTAAATAAGAGTGGCAAAAGTGGCTATCCCTGTCTTGTTCCTGTTTTTAAGGGCAATGCTTTTAGTTTTTCCCCATTGAGTATGATGTTGGCTGTAGGTTTTTCATATATGGCCTTTATTATGTTGATATATGATCCCTCTATTCCCACATTGCTGAGTGTTTTTGTCAAAAATGGGTGCTGGATTCTGTCGAATGCTTTTTCAGCAGCTATTGATATAATCATATAATTTTTTTCTTTCCTTTTGTTTATATGGTGTATCACATTTATTGATTTGCAAATATTGTACCATACTTGCATGCCTTGATCATGATGAATAATTTTTTTGATATATTGCTGGATCCAATTCGCTAGTATTTTGTTCAGGATTTTGGCATATATGTTCATCAAGGATATTGGCCTGTAGTTTTCTTTTTTGTAGTGTCTTTTTCTGGTTTTGGAATTAGAATTATGCTGGCCTCATAAAATGAGTTTGGAAATCTTCCTTCTTCTTGAATTTTTTGTAATAGTTTGAGGAGAATGGGTGTTAGTTCTTCTTTGAATGTTCGGTAAACCTCCCCCCGTGAAGCCATCTGTGCCTGGGTTTTTGTTTGCTGGGAGTTTCTCGATTACATCTTCAATTTTCTTTCTGTTATTGTTCTGTTCAAGTTTTCTATCTCTTCCTGGTTCAGTTTTTGGAGGCTGTGTATTTCTAGAAATTTGTCCATTTCTCCCAGATTGTCCAATTTGTTGGCGTATAAGTGTTCATAATACGTTTCAATGATCCTTTGTATTTCTGTGGTGTCAGCTGTTACTTCTCCTGTTTCATTTCTGATTTTGTTTATTTGGTTTCTCTCTTTTTTTTCTTGGTGAGTCTGGCTAAACGTCCATCAATCTTTTAAATTGTTTTTTTTTTTAGTCTCTATGTTGTTTATTTCTGCTCTGACCTTTACTATTTTCTTCCTCCTACTAGGTCTGGGTTTTTCTTTTTGTTTGCTTTCTAGTTCTTTAAGTTGTAGGGTTAGAAAGTCAATTAGGATTTTTTCTTGTTTCTTGAAGTAGGCCTGTAGTGCTATGAACGTCCCTCTCAGGGCTTCTTTCGCTGTATCCCATAGATTTTGTGTTGTTGTGTGTTCATTTTCATTGGTTTCAAGGAATTTTTTAATTTCTTCCTTGATCTTGTTAGTAACACATTTATTGTTTAATAATATGCTATTTAGCCTCCAACTGTTTGAATGTTTTTTTGTGTGTGTTTTTACTGTAATTGAGTTCTAGTTCATGTCACTGTTATCTGAGAAAATGCTTGATATGATTTCAATTTTCTTGAATTTGTAGAGACTTGCTTTGTGTCCTAACATGTGTTCTATCTTTGAGAATGACTCATGTGTACTTGAGAAGAATGTATATTCTGCAGCTTTGGGGTGAATGTTCTATAATATGGTCTATAAATGTTCTATAAATATCAATTAAGTCCAACTGATCTAGTTTGTCTTGTAAGGACTCTATGTCCTTCTTAATTTTTTGTCTACAAGATCTATCCGGTGGTAGTGTGTTACAGTCACCCACCATG